TTTTCCAACCTTAATGATTTTGTGATTCTGTCTTACTCCCTTTTTTTGGCTAAAGAGTTTATTGTTTTGCCCTGTGGAATCCCTGGTATCAGTCAGGGCCCATCATTCCTTTGAACTCTTGGACATGAGTTGGGAATAGATTTGTTTTGCACCGTTTTTCATATTGATCCGTCTAGCTGATTATGCAACAGCAATGACATGCTCAGTAATAGTGTCGAATAAGTAAAGCATAAGGATCAGGCTGCCAGCTCTGATTTCAAAAAGGGTGCTACAGAAAGAGTAAGTAGAATTGTAAGCTAACTCAAGTGCAAAGAGGTATCGGTAGGTTTCTAGTATAACTTCCTCCCCACAGCAGGGCCAGCTCAGAGCTCAGACCAGCTTTGTCAGGTCTTTATCCATCCAGGTCTTGAAAAACTGAAGACCAGAGAGCCTTCACAACCTTTTGAGGCAACTTGTTCCACTGCTGGACTGTATTCATGGTGGAAAAAAGTTTTCCTTCTGTCCTGTTTGACTCTATTTTGTTTCAACTCACACTCTTTCTCACTGGAAGAGCCTGGCTGTTGTCCTCACAACCTCCTCATAGGTATGGGCATGCTGCTCATAGGTCCCTTGAAGCCTTCTTGTCTTCAGGCTGAGTAAGCCCAGTTCCCTCAGTCTGTTATTTTAAGACATGTAACTATAACATAGTGTGGTGATGGTCACCAGACTCTCAAGCTACATCCAGAAAGAAAACTATAAATGAAGATAATGTAAAGCAGCTTGAGGTGGAAGACTGCCAAAATCTGTAACAACAAAGGACACTTAAAGAAAATTCTACCTGTGAAACAGTGCTACTGCTAACCTCACTGGCAAAATTGTCCTTTTTTCCCCTTGCTAATGTGACCTTGGATTCATCATGTTGAAGGCAAATGCAGCTTACACTATGTCCTTAAATGTGCATGTGGATTTACTGTCTTCTCCTATAGCCTTTTCTAAATGTGTAACTTAGTGGTATATCCTCACCTTGTGCTTAAAAATGTGTACAACACTGCAATGAATTAACGCTATTTTTAGGTTTGAAAGTTTAATGTAAGTCATGTTAAATCCTTCACTATCAGAGCTTGAGACTGCTCTCTTATGTGTTTATTACTGGCATAACTCTACTGGAGTATGTTTTGCTCAGGTTAAACCACAGTCATTTTCATCAATGTTTACAAGTACTGGGTGAAGTGGGAGAAAAATGTCATGTATGCGCTTATCACTTCATATTCCGTATTCTCTGGATATTATTGTAAACTGTTGAGTGAGCACTACAGAATATTCACATATTGTTCAGAAAAGTTTCTAAGTCAGTCTTCTGTTTAGGTAGTTCTGAAAACTTGTACATGGTCATAAAATATAATTTAACATCTGAATGTGCTCCTAAACCTCCTACTTCATAAACACCATGGTTTTCTGAGCGAGTACCACATACATTTTAATGTTTATAAGCTTCCACCACACCACCTGGTATTTGTAGAGTTGTAGATGCATTGTGTTTCATTCTGTAATTATTAGTTCCCCATCACTGCTTGTTCAATAGTTAACTGCTAAAGGTGACAGTTCCTTCAAGACTGCTCTGAAAACATTGGTTTCTTACCCACAGCCTTTTACCTGTGAATCAATATATATATTATTTTTTTACCCTGCAGAGGGTTCTTGCTTGACAGATGTAGTTGAGAATGATTCTGGAGCTTGTTGTCCAGCATCTCCTCAAGAGAAGAGAAAAAGAATTGTATCTGACTTTTATTCCCTGTTTTTATTTATTTACCTTCTGTTCAGAAACATCACAGAAGGAAAGATTTCTTCATCTCTCACCAGCTTCCCATGATGATACATTGCCTTTTTTACCCCTGCAAAGTTACAGAAGGTAGATAATTTAACCCTACTCTCTAGAGGATAAAGTTACCCTATAGCTATTACTTTTTAGTCACTTTCTACTTACTAAAAACTTCTACTTTGACTAGAGTTCAAGAAGCATATTTTATATTTGTGTGCAACTCCTAAATAATCACTCTGGCAGCTTCAAGGAAGAGTAAATTTTTATTATAGACGGCAAGGGGGAGATTCAAATTAGTTACTTTGACATTCAGAAGAGATATCCAGAAAAAAGAGCAAGGCACTTTAAGTTGAGCATAGTGTGAGCTAATAATCTAGCAGAGTTTTATGAAGGACAGCGGTCATTTTCTCTGTAAATAAGCTGCAAAAGTCTGTGAAAGTAGTGCAGTAATCTTTCAGCCCCCGCCTTCTTCCCACAGCAGTACGCTGGACATCCAGAACATTTCACAATGGTGTCAGCAAGATGTGAGCATACATGAAAAACATCAAGCATGCAAACTTGAGCATGTAACTTGTCTTTGGATTTGCACTTCAGTGCAGGCCCCCTTTGAATAAAGTTTGCGTGTAGTTTTTACCTCAAATGGAGCAAAAGCCTCACTCAGTATGACTGAAATCAGTACAGTGAAGGTACAAGTAATCTACTTTGCATCAACAGATACATTCCATGTTTAATTCCCATTTTCATTTTACATCCTTACAAAAAAGCCAACCCAGCGAGACAAAATTCATTAGAAAGTCAGCTTCAACAGTTTTCTAAGCTATTTGAGGGCTGGTAACTCCAGACAATACTTGATGTTAATCCATTGTTTTCTTGTCTAGTATACTCCGGGAGTGAATATTCTATAACTTTGTGCAATTGCCTGTGAATGCTGTGGCTTAAAAACTGATGCCTGCCAGGGTCACCAATCAGCACTTCAGTTTTCTGTATCCTGATGCATTTCCTCAGCCAGTGATGCAGACCATCAGCAAGTTGTTCATCGTAAAACATATCTCCTAGAACAATGAGGTCCCAGTTGCCAGCCTCTGAATTAATGATGTTCTTAATGGTGATAGGGAAGGGATTCAGGTGGTTCAATTCACAGTTCAAGATCATTGCCATTCCTGCAACTGAAGAAAAGTAAAAGTAAAATTGAAGTTATGTTTTAGGATTCTTCTGTTCAGCCCCCTTACAAATGTCCTTGACATATCTTTCAATTTCATCTCTTAAATATTTTTGTTTATCCCATCTTGGGACTTCCACAGTTTTCATTATGGGTCAAAATCTGGCGTAAAGTGATAGAATTTTATCATCATTGAACCATGACACAGGGAAGAACTATTCCTGGGATGGATAGCAATGGAAGCCAATCATGGAATCAACCCAGAATATCCAACTGCCTTAATCTAGGGATATACTTCCTCCCTAACCAATGAGAAATTATGAATAAACTGAATTCATAAGTCAATTATGGGACAAAAAAGTCGGGGGGGAAAAGTCAAAATATAGGCCCTAACATATGAAAGTGCAGGAAAATCCTATGGTCCTACAGAGAAGCCAACTTACTGGCTGTGCTTGGAGTTCCCTTCTAAACCAGCTGTGATGGTGTATGGGCAAAATTTGATTGATGATAGAAACTTTGCTGTTTGTTCATTCTAAGGAGCTATGGAGATGATACACTCAGTGCAAGACAGGCTGGTACAACCCAGCTTCTAATACTGGCAAAATCCATTAATCTTTTTAGCATTCTTAGAACTCTGTTTGGAACCTGAATTGCTCCCAAATGGAGCAAAGAAAAGTCCATGTTAAATGTGCTTTTAAAAATAATAAGTATCTTTACACAGAGGTGGGGGGGGGGAAAAAAGGCCTTACTAGGGTCAATGTCGTTAGCAAGGACTTGTGATGCTCCACTCATCACAGCAGCTATTGCTGTTGCTCCACACCCACTTCCAAGATCCAAAACTGATCGTCCTTTAACAACACGTGGATTATCTAAAATATACCTGAAAAGGAAAACTGTTAAAGCAGTGAACAAGATCATGCAAATTCCTCAGTTTTGCATTACACTGCATAAGAGTTCATGTCATACATGTAATGAAGCATGGTGTCTTAAAAACACTATTCCACCTTAACAACTGCCTTGAAATTCAATCTTCTGCAAGGGGGAAGGCCCAACGGGAGAGGGGGAAGAGCCCTAGGTGACAAATTACTGCAAATTGCCATAAATTTACTACCAATTGCCATAACTTCTGTTCAAGTAGAAACAGGAAAGGATTCTACATTTGTAGCGTCTTCTGGCTTGGAGGGTGATGGCTGACTCTTCAGGCAGGGCTACTGGTAAGCACAGCTTTTGCAGCTGGGTTCCAATGCAGAGAACTGTAATGGAAATGTTAAAATTGGTGTGAATGGCGAGCGGACGGATGGAAATGTCTGAGCATTAGAAGCACCAGCAAAAAAGAGGCCTAATGAGAGTGTCTGTTGATGGCACCTAGATCCCAGCACATCTGTATACAGATACCCAGGAGTTCAGACTGGGAGAACAAAAGACAATCTACCCTCAAACTAACCAGTTCAAGCCATTAAGAGACAA